CAAGTGCCTTACTAGTAGTAACAAGAAGCTACTAGGAACAAGTGCATTGTCTCCACTTGTCCCATGTTTCGGCGTCAATGTCTCAACCTCACACGACCAGCTCCGAGGTCCCAGACGCATCCATGTTTACGGGCATCACGGTGAGGTTTTCAGCCTTGAGCTCCTTCCACAGCTAGGAGAAACAGTGAGCAGTGAGAGGGCGAACCCAGGTTTCTAGTACCAAACTCTGAACAAGAAGATGTAACTTGAATGTTATGATGTATGCCGTGGTGGAGTTATCCACCTTCAACTAGCGAGCATCAAGGCAAAAAAAACTCGCATCGGCCTCAAGAAGAAGCCCAGGTAGGAGGCCCACAGTGAGGACAAGGAATGGACGAGAAAATCTCACCTGTTGAGCTTTGCAAAGAATATTCCACAACAAGCCACAAGAGATGGTTGACGTGCCAAGAACGATGTACTAACAAGTCAGAGACCATGGTGAAGGATTTCCAACACGGACGGCTTTTGCTGCGCATGTCGCCAATCACTCATTTTACTTGAAAATTATCTTACCTTACTTGCCTGAGTGCACTTTGGCATCAAGAACAGGATGCTGATCAACCAATACTATGTCCGACTATGTCTGTTGGCTAAGACAAACACTGCTTGTCGAACTCGCCAAACATCTGGCCACAGGCTGAAGTTCCAACTTTCCAGCACCCTATCTTCAGACACGTGCTACAAAGGCCTTGCCGGACACTTGCACTAAAGACTAGGTCGCTGGTCTGGCATTGACAAGTCTACCCATGACCTTCAGCCGCTCAATACCGATGCCTTGAGATGTACTTTGGGGTGACTAAAGGCCCATTTTGCTCGAAGCAAGCTTGGAAAGAAGTCTTTAAGAATGCACCTTCAAAGGTCTCCGCCTATCATTCGAGCACAAAGGTCACACGAAGGCTTCACGACACTAAGATATGAGAAATGGGAGATGAAATTATGTTATATAACTATCCTTTAAAGGCCACTCTGCCCCCTAATAGCGATGGCCTCCAACCTAGAAGCCATGTCAGAAATTGGCTACGTTAGGGCCTATGACGAATGTTTCGGTTGTGCGTCCGATTGTACCATCGAAGCAATGCAAATACGCAGCTAATGTGCTGCTGCCTTGATGTTGTTTCGGTCACGTGCAAAACATGCTGCAGGAGAATGATTGTTTGTTCAACTTCACTTGCCAATCCACGACACAAGTCACCGCCGTCACGGCTTTGTCACCATTTTTTGCACAGGTCAGAGGTGCAAAGATTTAAAGTCTGAGTGTCTGATATGTCTAAAGTCTATTCATGATATGTGTTTGTTGTTTTTATTGTATATTATATTCTGCTTTGGAAAAAATATGCCGATATGCATTAAGGTCAGACTACCAGTGACCAGTACTCTAGCGCCTCTGCACCTCGGAAGATCAAGCGCGGCCACACTTTGGCGCTTCCCCATACTGGGTTTGGGCCGACAGAGCTCTAAAGTGATTCCAAGAGAAAGAAACCAAACCTTGATGTAGTTTCATGAAATGTATGTGTTTAAGGCTGCGGTTTCTCAAGTTTCATCTCCACATCTCCATAGAACTTCATGTACAAACACATGCGTCACAAAAAAAAAATAAAGTTAATCTAGGATACTGTCTCAAACCAGAATGATGTCAAAATAAAATTCAAGGGAGTCGAAGAGGTGACACATGTGAAAGCTGCTAAGCTCTGTCAGCTCCAACCGCACTCAGCCAGGTGAGCATCCATGGGGGGCTAGGCCTCTCGCGATAAGAGTTAGCTTGTGTGAGTGCATAATAGGCCTACTTTGAGGAACCTAATAGCGTGACCTCCAACCTAGTAGCTTATCCGCCGACCCCGGCTAATGCCTAGTCGGGGCGGCGCCTCGGATACGGTTGCAACGTGGGAGGTTCTTTGCAACCACGGTGGCGCTATACCTCGGCTCATAACGCTACTAGTAGAGAGAACAGAGCTTGCAGAACTAGATAGGGCAAGGCTATGGCGCTACCCTCCGGTTCCCAATAAAGTTGTTTAATTGCGCTTCGAAACTGCCGTCTGGCACCCTTTCCTGGGGCTCCTACCTGCTCTGCCTCTCGCTCCTAAAGCCCTCTGGCCTCGGGCTCCTGCCTCTGGCTCCTAGATCGTTTTCAGCGTTTCTGCCGTCTGGCACCGTTTCCGAACCCTTTTGCGCGCAGAATCAATTGGGGGGAAGGCTGTGGCGGCACCTCCCCTTTTTCTTTTTTGGCACCGCTCTGCCTTTGTGGCCTGGGCCTCCTACTTGCTCTGCCTCTGGCTCCTAAAGTTTCTTGCGTTGCGTTTCGAAACTGTCGTCTGGCATCCTTTCGGAATCCCTTTTTTGGCCCTAGAGCTCCTACCTGTTCTGCCTCTTGTCCCAAAGCCCTGGCCTGGGCCTCCTACCTGCTCTGCCTCTGGCTCCTAAACCCGGTTCTATTGCGTTTCACTGAAAAGATGAGTTTCTTTGAACTCATGACGAAAGTGTGCTAACGAAGCTGGCTTGTGTCGATTCTGGAGAGACTGGGCGCCATCATCAGGTTTCTGCGCCTTCAATGCAACCGTCTAGTCCAAGCTGTGATGTAAGGAACCTACTGTGATTTTGTTTCACATTGTAGATTTTCAGCTGGCCCCTGATATGATTTGGTCGAGCCTAGTTGAACTTCGTCAAGAACAAAGGGAAAGGGATCAAAATGGCCACTGTAAAACTTATAGCTTCAAAACCTGTAGAAAAGCGTTGAAAATGGAAACAAATTTTGAGAACAACTTTTGGTCGAGCATCATTAGCATCAGCAGAGTCTCAGCAGGAAAGATGCAAATCCTTTGGTGCATCACTAGGCCCAAAACACAGTAAATTACAGTGTTTTTGCAACATGTATGTAGTTTATAAACAATGCTGCTCGTACTCTGGTGATGCCAATGGTGCTCGACACAACTGCTACCTCAAAACTTCTTCTCCCCTTAGCATACTTTCTTCTCTACAGATAAAGCTTTACAGTCTGTAAAGCTTTATCTCTAGAGAAGAAAGTATGCTAAGGGGAGATTTACAGTAGCCATTTTTGTACACTTTTCCTCTATTTTGAGCCTTCTTTCAAGTATATAGATACATACGTCTTGGTGATGTGCAAGCCACATTTCTAGCACCACCTGGGCGTATATGGTTTCTTCAAATATCAGGGCTTTGTAGTGGAAAGCGCTGAAAAAAAACATTCAAGACGCTTCGCGTCGACAGCCGCCCACACCGCGCACGAACAGCCGAAGTTAGTGAAATGGAAGTAGCCATCTAGGCGCCAGGTTGGGGACAGGCTGTCTTACGGCTGCGTTGGAGCCATCTTAGGGCCAACTTCGTCTACCTTGGGGCCCATAGTGGTGATATAACTTCGGCCTTGCCAAAAGCCATCCAAAAATACACCTCCAAAACGCTCTCCCCCATGGCCCTGCAGCCGAGCAAGAATCAACGCAGCAACCACCCCAAAACACAAAAATTCCTCCAAAACGCTCTCCCCAGTGGCCCTGCAAGCACGACGTAACGAAAAGTCATCCAAAAATGTACCTC